AAAAAAAAAAAAAAAAAAAAAGACAAAATATGTAGATCTATTAAAACAAACAAGCTGGTGCTTCAGCAGAAAGTGCAATATCCAGTTTGTATCAGAAATTCATTACAAATGTAATCTATCATCTTGTCTGAAATGGCTGACTGCATGGTGGTGAGGTAGTAGATGCAATGGGGCAGTGGGATTAAAGAGAAAAAGAAGGCAGATGACTGCCTGCCTCCACCGTGACAGTGATCAGTAGCCCTGGCAGGAAATTAGTAACTCAGGACAAGTTTTTGTTGTGTTAGGGGGCAAGAAAACAAATCAGGCAGGTCATACTTGAGCATGAGACTTGACTTTAGTACTGACTTATAGAAAATATTTTTTTTTATGTTCAAATAATCCTATTGAAATCATAGACCATTTTTCTGTGTGAATGAATATATTATATATCACACACAATATTATATAATAAATTATATTAAATATAATATTATATTTATAATATAATTTAAAAATGAAAGCCAATTTATTTAGTATAAAGACTGCATGCTTAGGAGTCAAATGAGTATAAGTGAGGGTTTCAGCTCCACTGCTTAAAAGGTGTGTAAACTGGAAAATCTCATGACATCTCCAAGCCTCAGTTAGGGCTCTTATAAAAGGAGTATAGGTTTTAGGGATGTTATGCGGATTCAATGACAGAGCACCCAACACATAGTAGATACTCAAAATATTAATTCTTTCTCCCATAGTGTATTTACAATTTAAATCCCATCTAATTACACAAGAGGATTTGAAGCTGGCTTTAGAAGTAAGAAAACAATAACAAAGATAAAATTGAACATGACAGAAATAGAATTCATTTACAAAAAATAGGGTTACAATTTTATTAGTAATATATTCCTTTGGAATTCTTGAGGATTGTTACTCTCTGAAAGAAAGATTTAAGTTGTTGAAATTTACAACGGAGCTCTAAAGGTGCCCTTCATTTACAAGCTATTACCTGAAAATCCCTCCGACATTCAAACGTAGGAAGTGGGCTTTATTTTTGTTCTTTGAGTGATTTTGGCTGGCTTATCTACATAATACCTGAATGGCATATTTGTAAACTGCCAATATTTTGTTGTTCTTACTTTTTTCTCACACATATCAATTTGGTTGTTTTTGGTTTAGTCAAATTCTGTTGGGGATAGTACACAGTGTGCATTCCTTCTGATAATCTAAGTTACTGATGTTTTCTTTACTTTGCTAGAAATGATGAATGGGATTACTCAGAATCGCAAGTGAAGTCGGAGGCTATGAGCTGAATTCAGATTGCATGAAACAAAAAAAAAAAACACAGTTCACCCTTCTAAAGTTTAATATATCTAGTGTCTTTATGAATGAGATTCCTTGGTCAAAAATCATTTCTAGACAACTGAAGCTTACCCCCTATATCTTGTAACAAATGTTGAAGATTTTTTTTCTCTAATGCCTGAAATAGTCTTTATTCTGTAAGTCCTCATTGCATTTTCAGTAGGAATTGAGAGTCACACCCAGAGGTCTATACTTTCAAAGGACCTTCAGTCCTGCAAACAATAAAAGCAGCAGATCATGGGATGGGGAAAATGTATGGATCACTAGTAAGTGGCCATTGAGTTAAAATTCATTTACATTTTTAAAAAATGTAAGGTGTGAAAGCATTACAAATTCTTATCCCAATTTGTTCTTTCAGGTTAATAGAAGGCATCTGTAATTAATGACTAAAAGCAAAGTGAGAGGTTGTGTATTTAGTAAGGAAATGATAGTCAAATTTATTACAGTAGTAAAATTCCACATTGTATAAAGTTTCCTAAACTATTTTTGTAACATGTAGAATAATATTTTTACAGTTTAGAATTTAATAATACTAAAATTAAATAAAAACATTTAATAATTTTGATTAAATAAGCTTTATATTTTAGGCTGAGATGTGATTGTGTTAGGACCCTGTATTAATAGGGACACCTTGACTTTCGAGTTTCCTTACTGAGTATCTCTTTTTCCTGCCTTGTACTTCGGACCACCTACAAATGGAGTAAAGAGACCATAGGGATACGGGTGCCAACGACTCCTCCTTTCCCACCCCATCTATTAAAAAAATTGAATTACCATTCATATAATAATCCCAAATTTGCAAATTTTCCAATTAAACAGAGACTTCTGCAATTGGGAAGCATCAAAAGAAGTTCAGGAGTTTGACTGAGATGGACAAGTTAAGAAAGTTTTTATTTCAACCATAGACATCTCTCTGCCTAGCACTTGCGTGTTGCTAAATTTCACCACTGCACTTTGCATCCTGTTTCTGCTCGCCACGAGCCTCTCAGCCCCAAGAGCAACCCTACAGTCCTATGCAAAGAAAGGTACAGCAGTGTGAAAGAGGCCTGGATGGAAAATCAGAGAGAAAGAGAAACAGACACAGAGACACAGACAAAGAACAAGAGAGAAAGGCAGAGAATGAAAGACACAGACTGAAAAGACCAGAGACATAGACAGATATTTGGTGGGAATATAAGGAGGGAAAAAAAAAAGGAAAACAAGACAGTTCTTACCATTATAACTTCTGCCTTGTCCTGTCATAGAACATGTGATTGCAGGATTTTTTTGTCC